AATTAAATGAAAATGAGAAATCTTTGTTATTATTATTATTATTTAATTATATTAAGATAATTACATTTTTATATTTATAATAATTTTAAAAATTGATAACTACATAGATATATATATATATACATTTATTTTTTTTTTTACATTTTAATTTACTTATATTTTTATTTATAACAAATGTTATCTATATTACTGTATATCTAAATATTATATATATTATTTAAAAATAGTTTTTAGTTTTCTAATACTTTAATTACTATAATTAATATAGTTGTAAGTGTTATACTTAATTACTGTACTATAATTTTTTATTTGTTACATTTTTATTTGTAACAACTCATTTCTTTCTGAGAGATTTGAGAGTGACTATGATACATGTTTTAGGCATGAAAGGTTTTTTCAGCTCAACGGAGTAAAATAAAGCTGCATGTATAGCTGTGAGATGAGTGTCTGTCAGTAGTTTTGACGTCATCAGTGTGATCAGGTGATCAGAGCGGCTCGTGTAAAGAAAGCGCGCATGGCCGGGACTCGCTCTGATTTCCTGAGCCGTGCTCCGCAGCTCCGCTCTGACGAAGATGAGGCCAGAGCCGCCCCCAGCGTCCCTGAGACGGTAAAACTGAGCCCCAGCGCAGCTCTGCACACTCATCCATTCTGATCCATCACAGGATACACACTCATTTTTAAAAGAGTAGTTTAACCAAAATGTAGAATTCTGTCACTAAATCGCCCTCGTGTCGTTCCAAACCCGTTTGACGTTCATTTTGAAGACCGTTAACTGCACCGTAGCCAAACACCATCTCATTTTTTGTTCAGTGGGTTATTCGGGGAATCTAAAATCAAGTTTAAAACCTTTTTAAGTCTATGGTTAAACACCCCAAATCATTAAAAAACAACTGTAAAAATGATACAGTTCTAAAAACACAGGTTTTGACAAAAACAAAGTTTTATAAAATGCTAAACTTCACTTTTCAGCCTTTTAAACCTTTAAAGCCTTTTAAAAAATAAATAAATAAAATATAGATACTTTTTAGGACCCGTCGGTAGTTTTAGTTAATTAAAAATAAAACAAGAAAAAAACTACTTAAAATAAATTTTAATTGAGATAAAATTTAAAAAAATTTAAAAAAAAATTAAAAATCACTAAAATTTGTAAAATTAAAAAAAATAATAATAATAATAATGAAAACATACCCTTTTTTTAAAAAAAGAAAGAAACTTCACTTTTCAGCCTTTTAAACCACTTTTTAATTTAAAAAATATATATTAAAATATATATATATATATGTATATATAGATACTTTTAAGGACCCATCGGTATTTTTAGTTAATTAGAAATAAAACAAGAAAATTTTTCTTTAATTGAGATGAAAAATTTTTTTTACAAAAAAATATTTCACTGAAATTAGTAACATTTAAAAGAATAAATAAATAAAATGAAAAAAGACCTGTGGGAGAAAAAAAGTAATTTTACTAAACAAAATCACTAAAATCAAAATGAAAATGAAAAATTCTAAAGAAAACATACCCTTTTTTTAAATGAAAAAAGAAACTTCACTTTTCAGCCTTTTAAACCACTTTTTAATTTAAAAAATATATATTAAAATATATATATATATATGTATCTAAAATCAAAATGAAAACGAAAAATTATAAAAATAAAGATGAATTAAAAAAAGTAATAAAGGACCTGTGGGGACTCTGGTTATTATAGTTAACTAAAACAATAAAAAATTGTTTCTTAAAATAAACATTAATTGAGATCAAATAAAATATACAAAACTTGAAATTTTATTTCACGTAAAATCAGTAAAATTAAAATGAAAAATTATTAAAAAACTAATTAAAATAACAATAAAAAAGTGTTACTTTAAATAAACAAATATTTATTTATTTAAATACAGTTCTTTATAAAAACAAAGTTTTATAAAATGCTAAACTTCACTTTTCAGCCTTTTAAACCACTTTTTAATTTAAAAAATATATTTAAAAAAATAAATAAATAAAATATAGATACTTTTAAGGACCCATCGGTATTTTTAGTTAATTAGAAATAAAACAAGAAAAAAATTACTTCAAATAAATTTTAATTGAGATAAAAAAAATATATATATATATTTCACTAAAATTAGTAAAATTGAAAAAAAAATCAATAAATAAAATGAAAAAAGACCCGTGGGAGAAAAAAATTATTTTACTAAACAAAATCACTAAAATCAAAATGAAAACGAAAAATTATAAAAATAAAGATGAATTAAAAAAAGTAATAAAGGACCTGTGGGGACTCTGGTTATTATAGTTAACTAAAACAATAAAAAATTGCTTCTTAAAATAAACATTAATTGAGATCAAATAAAATATACAAAACTTGAAATTTTATTTCATGTAAAATCAGTAAAATGAAAATGAAAAATTATTTAAAAACTAATTAAAATAACAATAAAAAAGTGTTACTTTAAATAAACATGAACTTAAACTAAATAAAATATTTAAAAAATTAAAATAAAAAAATTCACTAAAAATTAAAAATCATGACAAAATTATAAAAATAAAACAAATGTAAAAACCAATAAATCAGCTATAATAGTTTCTGATGGAAGAAAAAAGTCAAAGGCATTTGAAACGACTCAAGGGGGGATAAACGATGACAGAATTTGGTGTGAGCCAATAGTTTAAGGTTTGGTGAGTGTGCAAAAGCCCTCCTAACAGCTCTTGACTGTCTGTGGACCATAACCAAATCTGGCAGCTTTTCTCTGTCGGACTAATAACCCCGACTGGATGAAGCTGCCGGGACTCTGAAAGAGTTTGTGGTGTCTGATCTCTACTTGAGCTGCAGCCGTTGATGAATATGGAGTTTGCGAGTCAAGATGCATGCGACTACCATTAACACGGATTCATTCTCTGATCTTAAATACTCTCTCTTTCTCTCGTGCTGTCCCTCGTTCTCTTGGGTTTGGTGTCATGGGTTGTTTTTTCTTCAAAGAGCTTTACGTGAGACACTCATCAGCCAGAACCAGATCTGATAATATACTGTTCAGTCTGGTCTGATGTTCACGAAGCATCTGATTCTGGGTTTGTTTCTCAGAAAGAGCAGAAGAGGATCCAGAAGACCATGTCGTCAGGGGACCTTGGGAAAATGGATTCGCTCAGGAAGTCGATCTCGCAAACCGACGGCAGGTCAGATGGGATGCATTGCTTCTACTGGCTGATGAACACAACACTCACTATTTTAGAGCTGCATAATATGTAGAAAGAAAACTGATATTGTTCAATTGTCATATCGCGCAGTCAGGCTGTGACGTTAAAAAATGTTTGTTTAAAAAAGAAAGAAATTGAGACAAAATTAGTATTGTAATTTTACAGTACGTTTATTTAATTATAATTAAAATAAATAATTTTAAAATGTAATAATTTTTTATTTAATTAAAAACTTTTTTTTCATTTTTACAGTAAAATTTTATTATTACAATATATTTCTTAATTAGTTTAATATATTTTTTTTTTTTATATATTTTTACAGTAAAATTGTATTATTACAATATATTTCTTTGTTAGTTTAATATATTTAATGATAATTACAATAAAATCATAATAATTGTTAGTATTTTATAGTCCTATAGAATTGGTCAAAAGCAGCGTGAAAATTAGTATTGTAATTTTACAGTACATTTATTTAATTATAATTAAAATAAATAATTTTAAAATTGAGTAATTTTTAATTTAATTAAAAAATAAAAATTTTTTACAGTAAAATTGTATTATTACAATATATTTATTTATTAGTTTAATATATTTAATGATAATTACAATAAAATCATAATAATTGTTAGTATTTTATAGTCCTATAGAATTGGTCAAAAGCAGTGTGAATGTGGCGTGTGAAAACTCAAGTGAAAAGAGATTTTTTTTTTGTTTATAAAAACTTTTTTATTTATACTTTATAAAAATATAAATACTTTATTTTAAAGTGTCCTTGTTACACATGTTACATGTACTTACTATTATAATAGCAATAAATTATGCATAATTACATGCAAGTCACATAGTAAGTAGATGTAGTTAATTAATATTACTCAGTATCTAAATGTATAATTACACTGTAACAAGGACACCTTAAAAAAAGTGTAACCAAAACTTTGTTTACTAAGACTAAGGCCCAACCCCAATTCTATTTTATACCTCTTCACCTACCCCTTCCCCTTGAAACAGAGTGTGTGGGGTGAAAATATTCCCCTAAGAAATGGGACACCACTACTATACCGTTACATATCATCATATATTGTCTAGCTCTTACAATACACACACCTATACTGGTGTGCATTAGAGCCTTTAGTTACTGGTCTATATTAATGCGCTGCTTACTGACACATACACACACACACGCACGCACGCACACACTCACACACACTCACACACACACACTCACGCACACACACACTCACACGCACTCACACGCACACACACTCACACACACACTCACTCTCACACACACACACAC